TATTCATGGTGTTCATACAAGGTACTAGAAGTTTGTGATTGTTTATATATTTTTAAAATTGGTCAACATATAATAATTAAGGTTACCAGATGAAAGGTGCATTATTATAATAAATATTATAATCAATCTTTTTAAATTTGATGAATTATTAAACAAATTGCTTGATTATAAAACAAATGGGCCAATTATGGTATGAAACAAAAATTAGTGTAGCTTTGTAATATATATTAAAAATAAGGGTAAATTACACCCACACCCCTGAGGTATGCTTAAATAATTTTAAGGTCCCTGTGGTATCGATAATTACACTCACCCCTTGAAACGTAGTTATAAACTCTAATGAGATAATGCATTGGATAAGTTATTACGATAGAGTTCTAACGGATTATTGGTTTCAGCAAGTGGTAGAGACAACAAATAGTTATGGGTGATTTAAGAAATATTGAGAGAGCCATGTCACCCCACAACTCATCATAACTCTATGTTATCTCCACCACTAGCTAAAAGTAATAGTCCATTAGAACCCTATCGAAGTAATGTATCCAATGCATTATCCCATTAGAGTTTCTAACTACGTTTCAAGTGGGTGAGTGTAATTATCGATACCATAGAGACCTTAAAATTATTTAAACATACCACAGGGGTGTGGATGTAATTTACCCTAAAAATAATTTTAATTTATTACATAAGACCTAAATAATATAAAAAAATATAGACGATAAAGTGAGATCATCCCTAAAAGTTAACATTTTTCTTCTATAATATTATGTTTGACTTCATAAAGAAATGTGAAGTGAGTCATTATAATTCATAGACGCCCTTTTCTTTTAGGGTAAATTACGATTATCCTTCTAAGGTAAGATTAAATTACAAAAAATCTTTTTTATTAGGAGTTATTACAATTAATCCATCAATTATGTATTGTCTTGCGAAAAACTTCCTCATTCAACATGTAAATTTAACACTGCAAAAGTGGACATATAAAACAATACATATTTATGAAAGATAGTTATAATTACCTAAACACGCATACTTTTTTTTTTCGTAATTTCATCTTACGTCAGCCTCTGGTGATCGTAATTTGCCTTTTCTTTTTATTGCACGCATACACTTTATGGCTAGATTTATAATATCTTGAAATATAAATCTTAAATCTCGAGAGCCGCCACCAACTTGGAAAGTGTGTAATGTGTTTAAGATTTTATATACTGAATTAACATTCAAGATTTTAATTAGAAACTCAAAAAAATAAATAATACATAAACCTAAAAGACTTATAATTGAGATTGTGTACTAAAAACCTCCCCTAATCCGATTACACAATTGGATTAT